GTGGGAGAGGGCAGGGGTGGGTGGCCAGCCGGCTGCCGCTGATGGTCTGTGGGGCACCATCCACACCGGGGGAGCCCCACGGGTCTGGCGGCCAGGCTCACCCCCTCTGTGGACTTGTCGGTCTGGCAGCACATCAACAACGAGCACATCCACGGGGAGAAGAAGGAGTTTGTGTGCCGCTGGCAAGCCTGCACGCGGGAGCAGAAGCCCTTCAAGGCGCAGTACATGCTGGTGGTGCACATGCGGCGGCACACGGGCGAGAAGCCCCACAAGTGCACGGTGAGTCGGCGAGGGGATGGGTCTGGCCACACTGGCCACGCCTGGGGGCAGCGAGCCACAGCAGCAGCCTCGGAACAGGCCTTGCCTGATGCGGTGGTATCCGTTCCCGCCCTGGCCTTCTGCCTGCTGGGGTCCTGCAGGCCCCTCCGTCCTGCTGTCCCAGACCCCGGTGAACTCGCTCCCTGGTGTGAGCATCTTGGTAACTCCAGGAGGGCGTGCAGGGGGTGGGGGGCTGTCTCTTTGGTTATGTCTGTGATTGTGAGCCCCAAGGCATAGCTGGACCCTTGTGGTTTGCTTAGCTGGGTGACGCTAGACAGAGTGTAGCACACTTAGAGAAAAGTATCACTGATGAGTCACAGCTTAAACCACGATGATTAAAAATCACGCTAAGTTTTTTGGAGTTTTTTTTACATGAACTCAAGGATCCTTTTAGATGGCGGGGGGATGTGCCCCTTGTAGTACACTCAGAATTTGTTCCTCTGGACCAAACGGTCTTCCAGAGTTTTTCTCTGTAAGTTTTGAGAAGGTTGCATCACAGTTTGCGGAAGAAACATCCTGAGTTTTGGCAAACAGGTGACTGATTCGTCCACCATGCCAACGCACCTGCCCACACCACCCTGAGTGCTCAGCGGTTTCTGACCACAAAACAGCATGACCCCTGGCCCTCCACCCTCCCTATTCACGCATCTCACCCCGAGCGACCTTTTTTTTGTTTCCCTGGAGGAAAAAAGTCCTCAGAAGTAAATGTTTTGCTGATGTGGAAAAGGTGAAATAAAAAGAGGCAGAAACACTAAACGACATCAAAATGAATGAGTAAAAAACTGTTTTGAGCAGTGAAAAAAAGTGTCTCGATAGGTGTATTGCATTAACCAGAGAGTACTCTGAAGGTGACAGAAGTTTAAACATGTAAGACTAAATGCACAGTTTTTAATAAATAAATTCCGGGATTTGGGGGGTCTCCCTTCCTATGGTCTCCCTTAAGGAATCAACAGGATTTGTGACTATAATTGGTGAGACTATTTTTTAACACACAGAAATTGCTGCCTTTCAAAATGGGAGAGGGTCCAGGCTGAAACAGCTAAGAACTCTTCTTTGTGAATGACTGTATTTCATAGATTCTGAGACACATTTTGTTCTCACTTTAGTATCTCTAGAATCAGGTCGTCTTAAAATTGATGGCATGCAGGATCCATTGAAATTCACTGCTTTTGTTGGCAAGCCAGTTTTTTTTTTTTTTTTTTTTTTTGAGATATAACCCACATGCCATAAAGCTCACCCTTGTCTAAAAATGTACAACCATCACCACTAGTTAATTTCAGAACATTTTCATCACCCCAAAAAGAAACCCTGTGTCCATTAGTGACCACTTCCAGTTCTGTCCTTCTCTCAGTGTCAGATAGCTACAAATCCACTTTCTGTCTCCCAATTCACCTACTCTGGATATTTCATACAAATGAAATCATATAATAGGTAGCCTTTGGCCTCTTTCAGTTAACACGTTTTCAAGGCTCATTCATGTTGTACTTTCTTTTTATGGCTACATAATATCCCATTGTTTGGGTAGATGACATTTTGTTTACCTGTTCATCAGTGGATGGATATTTGTGTTTTTATTTTTTGGCTATTATGAATAATGCTGCTATGAACATTTATGTTTATGTTTTTGTGTGGACATATGTTTTCAATTCTCTTGAGTATGTATACCTAGGGGTAGAATTGCTAGTTCATATGGAAATTAGGGACCTGCCAGACTGTTTTCCAAAAAGGCTGCACCATTTTACATTCTCACCAGCAGCGTACGGGGTTTCTCCACATCCTTACCAACACTTGTTGTTACCTATTCTTTTTATTCCAGCCATATCCCAGTAGGTGTGAAGTGATGTTTTATTGTGTTCTTGATTAAAATTTCCCTAGGAACTAATACTGTTGAACATCTTTTTGGATGCTTATTGGCCAATTGTGCATCTTCTCTGGAAAACTTTGTACTTAAATATTTGCCCATTTAAAAAATGTAGTTATTTGTCTTCTGTTAAACCGTAAGTGTTCTATCCAGTTACTAGACCCTTGTCAAATATATGATTTGCAAATAATTTTCCCATTCTATGGGTTTTCTCTTCATTTTCTTGATCATTTATCTTAAAGCACACATTTTTTAATTTGACGAAATACAGTTTTTAAATTGCTGTGCTTTTAGTGTCATATCTAAGCAACTGTTGCCTAATCCAAGGTTACAAAGATTTACTTCTATATTTTCTTCTAAGAGTTTATAGTTTATAGATATGTACTTTTATTTATATAAATGTGTGTGTGTGTATACATATACATATTTGATCCATTTGGAGTTAACTTCTATACATGGTGTGAGGTAGGGATCCGAACTCATTTATTTGCATGTGGCCATGCGTGCAGTTGTCCCAGTCCATTCGTGGAAAGACTGTCCTTTCTCTTTTGTACTGTCTTGGTACCCTTGTCAAAAGTCAGTTGACCTAAAGTGTGGCCTAAAGGGTTTATGCTTTGCGGTTCATAGCAGCATTATTCCTAACAGCCCAACATTGACCCGAAGGGTTTTGTTTCTGGACGCTCAGGTCTATCCCGTTGCCCTCTGCGGCCTCCCTTTATGCCTGGACCACATGTAGTCTTGAAGACTGCAGAGCTGTAGCAAGCTTGAAATCGGGACCCTGGAGTCCTCTGACTTTGTCCTCCTTTGGCAAGATCGTTTTGGCGCTTCTGGGTTTGTGCAGCCAGTGACTTTAGCGTCCTGAGGGGTAGCGACCTGCCGCCCTCTGATGATGTGAGCTGCGAGCTGTGGACGCAGATAAAAGACATGTGGAGCCCAGTGTGCTCAGGCTGGTCGGGAATAAAGGGAACGACGTGGAGGAGGATGAGGCAGTTCCAGCTGGGGTGTGTGCGTCCTTCTGAGGACAATTTCCACATGTGCCGTGGATGCACCTGCAGTCTCTTTGGCGTGGCTGCAGAGCCTGCTGCGATCATCTGTCCCCTCCCCATTCCCCGCTCCCTCTTTCCCTTGTTCCCCCCTTTCTTCCTTCCTTTCTGAAGAAATGTTTCTTGAGTACCTAGGTGCTAAATATTAGGAAGACAGCAGTGCCCCAGCCCCGTAAGGTTCTTGCTCTGGGGAGCTTGTATGCCAGGAGGAAGGCCAGATAACACAATGACGAAGGTGGAGGTCATCCCAACTTGTGTCAGGGACTGTAAGGGAGGAAGGGCAGAGCCTCGCAATCAAGAGTATCAGAAAAACACTCTCTAGCCGGGCTCGGTGGCTCAGCCTGTAATCCCGTGCTTTGGGAGGCTGAGATGAGCGGATTGCCTGAGCCTGCCTGGGCAACTTGGCGAGACCTCATCTCTACAATAAATCAGAAAATGAGCCGGGCATGGTAGCGTGCGCCTGTAGTTCCAGCTAATCGGAAGGCTGAGGCGGAAGGATCGCCGGAGCCCAGCAGGTCGAGGCTGCGGTGGGCAGGAGCGGCCACTGCACTCCAGTCTGGGCGACAGAGTGAGACTCCAACTCAAAAAAAAAAACACTCTCAGAAGGAATGACCCAACAGACTGCAAGGGAGGGACTCAGGCCATGGGCCAGGGCGAGTGGGAGTGGAGGAAGGTTCCAGCCAGAGATGCCAGCGTGTGCAAAGGCCCCAAGCCGGGAAGAACTTCCTGGGGTCAAGAAACTGAAAGGAGACCAGCATGGCCGGAGCGAGGGTGAGACGCTGAATTTTCTCCTCAGCATATTTTAATGCACAGAAGCAGTCTATTTGTATTGGAAAACAGTTGAAAATCACAGATTTCAAAAAAGTTTAATGATGTAGGAAGATCCCCCCCAGTGTGCTGATTTTTAAAAGTAGAAGGTGTGACGGAATGCCAAATAGGTTCCTGATTTGGGTTTTAAAAGCATGTGGGGATGAACTGCAGAGTCACCAGAACGAGACCAATGTGGGTGTCAGCGGTGGCTTTCATTTTCTTTTTGGGCTCTTCCGCCCTTTCCAAGTTTCGTAGACAAGAATGTCACGGCGACCGTGCGTGCTTCTGGGTGCTCTGGCAGGGCGGGGCGGAGTGGGGTGGGAGCAGGGAGGGGCGACGGGGCCCCTGTGTTGCCCCTGGGTCGCCCGACTGACCCAGCCTTCTCCTTCCAGTTCGAGGGCTGCTCGAAGGCCTACTCTCGCCTGGAGAACCTGAAGACGCACCTGCGGTCTCACACCGGGGAGAAGCCGTACGTGTGCGAGCACGAGGGCTGCAACAAGGCCTTCTCCAACGCCTCGGACCGCGCCAAGCACCAGAACCGCACCCACTCCAACGAGGTACCCTGGCCAGGCGTGCGCCCAGGGGCTCTGCTGACGCCCCACCGCTCCTAGGCGTCTGCAGGGCCGTAGGAAGCCAGGTGCCCGGGTGCCCTTCCCCCACCGCTGCCTAGCACTCAGAGACCCGGAAAGGCCAGGCTCCCGTTCTGTGCCACGCCCTCTGTTCTGAAAGGGTCGATGCCCTGTAAGGCCCATGGCATACTCACCCTCACTGTGCCCCGGTTTCCTCATCCCTGCAATAAATATAATGGTGCCCTCCCCAAAGGCCTCCATGAGGTCCAAGGAGCCAGCATCAAGGCAAGGACTGACCTCTCTGACCCACACGTGATTGCTGTGTCATGAGACAGGCCTCTGCTCCTCATTCCCGGGGCCGCTTGGTGGCTTCCCCTGCCCCGCCCTATCGATCCGGAACATAATGCTCAAAGAGACGAAGTGACATTCCCCGGCACCAGGTAGCTCGTATGTTGTGCCCAGGAGTGTGGGTTCTTCTGCTGCTGTGAGAACCCCTTGAGACATCGCTTCACACCCCTAAAATTACTGTTCCACCCACAAGTAGGCGTCCCGCTGCAAAGCAGCTGCCGTTGCCCCCGGGGGAGAAGTGCTGCGCCATCTGAGTGTGGCACGCGTTGGCAAGCCCTTGACCTAGCGGCTTGGGCGGCCAGCAGTGACATGCTCCAGCCGCTAGCGCTGCCTGGACCTGCCTTGGCCATCAGCCCCCGCAGATAGGGCACAGAGCAGCCTCTATTTCCCCAGGCAGTCACAGCCTTAGCAGGGCTGAGAAAGCCAGGGCGGGACGTCGACCGGGAGCCACAATCACTGTCGCTCAGACAGACTAGGGAAAGGGCATTTCTAAAAGCTGAGACACATCCTGGACCCCAAAGGGACTTTGCTCCGAGGCTTGTAAGAAGTTAGAGGAATGTTCAAAGGCATCTGAACCCCGCAGAGGCTCCACAGACAAGAGCCAGCCTTGGAGGTGGGGAGGGGATCGTGTGTGTATTTGCAAGTGTGTGTGTGTAGATGTGCAGGGTATCTGTGTGGGTGTGCATCTGTGTGTGAATATGACTGCGCGTGTGTTTATGGCCCAGGGCTGAAGTTCAGATATCTTGGGTTTTCCTCCCACTGCTGGATGCTTTCGAGCAAGTTTCTTTGTCTCCCTGAGCCTGTCTTTCCTCATCAGAGAAATTAGGGATGCCAGCCTATCTCACAGGGTACCAGAATTATGTACTTGCTACTGATATTAAAAATCCCAATTCCCTGTTCACAGAGAGGCAGCATTGTGATCACAGGAAGCACGTGTGTGCTCCGCCACCACAGTCTTTCTGGTCTGTGCCCCCCCCCACTCCACCTTGTGGCGAGAGCCCCCTAGCCATGCGCATATCTGCATTAAAAAGTGACAGGTAACAGCTCCATGGCTCAGCCTGTAAGCCCAGCACTTTGGGAGGCTGAGGTGAGTGGATTGCCTGAGCCCGCGGGTTTGAGACCTACCTGGGTAAATTGGCGAGACCTTGTCTCTTCAATAAATCAAAAACTAGCCATGCATGGTAGCACACGCCTGTAGTTCCGGCTACTCAGAAGGCTGAGGTGGAAGGATCGCCGGAGCCCAGCAGGTCGAGGCTGCGGTGGCCGGGAGCATGCCGCTGCACTCCAGTCTGGGCGATGGAGTGAGACACTGACTCAAAAAAAAAAAAAAAAGGTGGCAGACAAGGCCTGGGCTGGCGAGGGTCCCCCCACAGGGCGCTGGCTGCAGGTACACGGGAGTACCACTGACTGCCAGGGAGGCCCTGCTGAGGGGCGTGGCGGCTTCAAGAGAGCGGGGTGTGCTCATACCCCCATGCATGACACAGGCCTGGGTCTCTCCCCAGAAACCGTACATCTGCAAGATCCCAGGCTGCACCAAGAGATACACAGACCCCAGCTCTCTCCGGAAGCATGTGAAAACGGTCCACGGCCCCGACGCCCACGTCACCAAGAAGCAGCGCAATGACGTGCACCTCCGCGCCCCGCTGCTCAAGGAGAACGGCGACAGTGAAGCCAGCACGGAGCCCAGCGGCCGGGGTCCAGAGGGGAGCGCCGAGGCCGGCAGCACCAGCCAGGCCGTGGAGGACTGCCTGCACATCAAAGCCATCAAGACCGAGAGCTCCGGGGTAAGCGGAGCCAGGCAGTTCTGGCCCAGGGCCCAAGACGGTGGTGGGCTCTGCCCGCCAGCACCCCGCTAAGGGCACAGCAGTGCCCCACGCTCTCAACTTGGCTTTCCTTCCTTCCCCACCTCGGGCCTCATGTGGAAGCTGTCTCATCTAGGTCCCCAAGTTCTGCTCTGACCCGGCTCCTGCTGGGAGTGTGGCAGGGCTGTGGGGGACGGAGATGCCCGCCCCAGGTGCTGGGTCTGTGGGTGGGGGTGGCCCCTGTGTGTGTGACTTCCCAGCCGGTCCCCAAGCACCACAGCCCACCCCCCTGTCCTGTCTCTGCCTCCTCGTCCCTCTGGCCTCCACTCCTTCATTCTAACCACCTGTTCTTTGTCTCTACCTCTCTTTCCTGACTGTACCTCCCCTAAGGATAGACGGTACTGAGGTGAGCCGAGGAGCTTGGTGGGGGGAGGGACGAGGGCTGGGCCAGTGAGGGTGGGCTGGGGGGCTTGTCTGTGCCGCTGCCCGGCACAGACCGACCTGTCCTCACAGGCCCGGGAAGGTGGGTCTGGACAGGCACACGGCAGGGCACTGCAGTGGGACTGCTGGAATGGGTGGAGGCGGTGCCGGGGGCAGAGCTGGCGGGTACAGGGAGCCGTGGGGACCGGGCTGCATGAGGCCCAGAGCGATAGGAGGCGTGAGTCCAGGCTGCAGCAGCCCCGGGGGCCAGGCAGAGGATGGCAGAGGGCGCCAGGGGCAAGATCCAGAAGGCCCTGCTCCCGTGGGTCTTGTGTCCTCGTGGGAAGGAGTGTTGCTGCAGCTTCCCCAGGAAGGCACTGGGATTGGGGGAGCACTCGGCCTACAGTGAGCCCAGAGGTGCTGGGGTAAACTTCACCTGGGCCGGGTCTCAGGTCACAGGAAACGGAGCCATTGTTCTGTGGCGTTCTGCCCCGTGTACACGCGCCGTGAGCTCCCTGTTCCTCACCCGGCCCAGAGGGCAGGTGGCTGTGGGGTGGCCATCGAGGCAAGGGTTGAGGTCACCTCACTCGGGAGAAGGTGCCAAGCCAGCAAGTTTGCTCATTCCTCGTATCCCCATGGGACTTGGCTGCTGCTGGCCATGCTACATACCTTCTTTCCTGCTGTCCTGGTGCCGTCCATGCGACGCGTGCTGTCCGTCCCCCACTAACCGCGCACCGGGGGTAGCTCAGGCCCAGCTCACAGTTGGAGAAGCCAAGGTTCAAAGAAGCGAAGTGACTTGACTGTCTCCCTGCAAGCTTCTCAGGCAGCTTCCTCCCCCACAGCCTGCCCCGGGGCATGCCAGGGGATAGCCTGTGTGCAGGCACGGATGCAGGACCTGGTGGCCCTCACCCGCTCGCGCCCGCCTTCTCTCCTCATCCCTGCAGCTGTGTCAGTCCAGCCCCGGGGCCCCGTCGTCCTGCAGCAGTGAGCCCTCTCCCCTGGGCAGTGCCCCCAACCACGACAGCGGCGTGGAGATGCCCGGGACGGGGCCCGGGAGCCTGGGAGACCTGACGGCCCTGGATGACACACCCCTGGGAACCGACGCCTCCACCCTGGCTTCCCCCTCCGCCGGAGGCCTGCAGCTGCGCAAACACATGACCACCATGCACCGACTCGAGCAGCTCAAGAAGGAGAAGCTCAGGTCACTCAAGGATTCCTGCTCGTGGGCCGGGCCGGCGCCACACACCCGGAGCACCAAGCTGCCTCCCCTCCCGGGAAGTGGTGAGTGGAGGTCTGGGGCTTGCGGTGGGGTAGGAGAGAGGCTGAGGCAGCACCAGCCAGGTTGGTGGTTGCCCACCGGATGCCCACAGTAGGATAGATCTTGGCGGCCCATAGCACAGAGGAGGAAACTGAGTTTCAGAGAGGCGAAATGCCTGCTCCAAAATCAGCAGCCCAGGCCTCCGTGACTCCAAAGCCCATGCTCTTTCAACTACACCACGCTGCAGCCCTGCAGACCCCCAAGCAGGCAGACCCTGCCCACCTCATCCTCTTCCTCGTCCAGTCATTCGGTCCTTCATTGGGCCCCTGCCGTGAGCACCACGGAAGGAGCATCGTGTCTCAGTCCCCAAGGAGTGTATGGCTGGAAGGCCAAGCCGCCAGACACACTCCACGGCAGGACGAGCCAAGTGCCACCAAGACGGAGCTTAGGGCATAGCTGTGCGGGGTGGCGATGGGGGGGAAGCACATCCAGCAGGAAGGAGCAGGGCGGACTGCATGGAGGAGGCAGTGCTGTGCTCAGCCTCGGGGTGGTGTCAGCCAGGCTTTGAGAGGGAAGGCGTCTTCAGCAAGCACATCTTGAGTGTGTGCCTCACTGTGCCGGGCACCAGGTACTCAGCCCCTAGGCTGCCCGTTGTAGTAGAGCCATCCGCTCCTTCCTTGAAGAGAGGATTTACTGCCCCAACTGTGTGGATACTGCAGGCCGCTGACCTTGAACAGCCCCCTACAGGGATCCCTGGACTGCCGCGAGCTGTCCCACCCCAGGGCACCCTTCCTGGGTCACTGCCTCCGTGGAATGGCCCAGCCGTCTCAGCCCAGCTTGGGACGGCACTGAAGGGTCGTAGGGGGTCCCGGCCTCCCTGTGACGTCAGCCTGGGCTCACTTCTCCCGTGCCCACTCCTGCCACAAGACCCTCCTCCCTCGACCTGGCTCTCAGGGCACACCCTCCGACCGCCTGCTCCTTGGCCTGCCTCTTAGGAGAAGGAGCAGCATCTGCCTGCCCATCCTGAGAGGACATGGAGCCAAGGGCTGGGCCTTGCTGGGTTGCTCGTCCCGCCTCTCCGCAGCCTGGGCCGGTGGAGTGGCACGTTTTCCCTACAGCTGGAGAAACTGAGGGCCGGGGGAATGAGAACGTGGGGCCAGCCAGGTGGCCTGGGGAGCCACTCAGGCCTCCCGACTTCCACTCACCCATCCTTAGCAATGGGCACCACCGTTGTTTATTATTCCTTTCTTCCCTTCGAAAATCACCGCAGGCGGGCGTGGTGGTGCACCCCTGCAGTCCCAGCTGCTTGGGAGGCTGGGGAGGGAGGACCCCTTGAGCCCAGGAGCTTGAGTCCAGCCTGGGCCACAGCCAGCCCTG